TTACTGACCCCTGTCTGATCTGTCTACCCGTTATAATCTAATTCCCCCTCCACCCTCGATCCTAGTTTAAATACTCCTCCAGCCTTCTCATAAACCTCTCCCCCAGCACAGCAGACCCCCTTCCAGTTAGGTGCAAATCATCTCTAGCACATAGGCTGCACCCCAATGAAAAGTCACCCCAGTGCTTTAGAAACCCCAAACCTTCCCTCTTACACCAGGTATTCAGCCATGCATTGACTTCTCTAATCTCCCCCTGTGTTTCCTGAGTAGCGCATGGTACAGGTAATATTTCAGAGAATATCACCTTGGAGGTCCTTCCCTTCAACTTGCAGCCTAGTTCTTTAAATTGATCCTTAAGGAGCCTCCACCTTCCATGTATTCTGGCATTGGTTCCAACATGGACCAAGACTGCCCAGCCCCTCCCAGTAATTTTTCAATCCGGTCCACCACATGCCAAACCCTGGCACCAGGGAGACAGCAAACCATTAGGTTGAGGCGATCCTAGCGACAAATTATTTTATCAGACCTTCTGATAATAGAATCCCCTACTACCACTAGCTCTCTAGGCCTTCCTGCACTACCGTCACCACCCCTCCCAGATGGTCTGCCCTCCAGGATAGCAGTGACATCCAGGGCTGCCACCCCTGAGCTTTGCACCCCCACATCTTCACCCAACTTGGCAAATCTGTTTGGGTGCACAAACCCAGGGCCTTCCTTTTCTGTGAACCCCTACCACTTCCTCTCATTACAGTAACCCATCTTCCTACCTGATAATCCTGATTAGCACCTCTGCCCTCTACATCAATCCCATTAGCTACCTGCTCAGAGAGCAGAAGACCCCTTTCAAGGTTGTCAGTTCTGCCCAGTGTTGCAACTTACTCCTCCAGATCTCTAATGCAAATTTTCAGAAGGGCAACCTGCTCACATCTGTCTCAGCAGTATCCATCCTGGAGCCGTTGCTTCATTGCTGCATACATGTCCCGAATGTCTTTAAAAGCTCCTTACACTCTTCAAGAGGCCTTTTCCTAAAGCCGTTGCATTTTTTTTAGGGGATGTGGTTTCTTGTGAATGGGACACTCTCGGTTGGGGTTTTCAATCTTCCTACTCTGTTTATTTGCAGCCACAACTGTGGTGGGAGTGGGGAGGATGTCAGTCTTTTTCATGAATACTGGGCCTCTACGGTTCCTATAGTTGTCCTGAAGACTGGTACTCTTAGGAAAGGATGAAGAGAGACTGTACTCACCGTAGGAAAAACTTGAGTCGTTCTTGGTCTCTGTAATGTTCTTGATGAATTCTCAGAAGAAAGAGAATGGAGGGAAGGAAACATTGTTCTGTTTTATGTATGATGACCCTATTGCAGACCATTTTTCTTGCAAACCATATGGGAGCTTGGAGATGATTGGGTTTACCCCTCTGGCAGTGTCCAGGTAACTGAGTCCAGGTAGTTTTGGGTCTGCCTTGGCTAGCTGAAGCTCAAGGAGAAGGTCACTCAATCTCTGGAATTCTTGTTGTCCTTACCAGATATCTTTCGGAAAGTTTCCAGACGCATGAACAAAGCATTTTCTATAGCTTCTGGACATAACTTTGCTCTCATCGATCCCATGCAGCTGTGAGGCCTGCTGTAGGATTGTCCATGAAAACTGATCTTAATGGCTTAAAGCATGCAGCAGATAGAGGACCAAGCCATCTGATCAGCAAATCAAATTCTTCAGCAGCTGTAGTACCAAGATTATTGATTGCAGTTCTGAAAGTACATTTCCAACTTCTAGTTTTCAGGTTGGTAATCAAAACTTGTAAGACCAGTTTTGTGAGCTCTCTGTGAAGTATGTACCTCATAAAGTCTGCTGCCTCAATTGTCTCCGACTTTATGCAAGATGTTGTTGGCTGAATGGTGCTGATTGTGCTGTCTTTGACATCGCTGTTATAAGACACAGGGAAATATGGTGCAGCAGATGCATTCAGGCGAGTTTCTTGCTTGAAGTCAGTTGTTCCAATGGTACGTTTATTTGAAGCTATACTGATGACAGGAGATTGATGACTTGCTTGCAGCTTGCTCTGATGCTCTCTGACGTATAAAGGAAAGTTAGGTAGATAGGCAGGAAAGGTGTTGGAGTGATTTTGCATGCAGGAAGTTGCTGGAACCTCTTTAACTTTTTTTTTTTCCAAATTAAAGTTTTATTGAATATATAAGATATGATGAATACAGAGAATGGGGGGTAGTGGATATAACAATCAGGAGAACAAATAATAAAACAACCCCTATAACAATCAAATGTAGTCATTTCCACAGTTAAAATTAAGTAAATACAATAATAGCACCATGTGTTAAATGGCAATTCAGTATCCAACATTCAGGATGGCAAACTTTTCTTCCCTTCCTTCCCTCCTCTCCCACCCCTCCCCCCCTTGAAAGTGAGGGGGGCCTAATTCCACGAATCAGCAGTAGTGACTAACGCATCGCTAGGAGTATAAAAGTAGTCAACTTTATATGACAGTGTGTTTAATTTGTTGAGTCAAGAAATGTCTCTGTATTCGGTTTGTCAGGGTGTAGGGCAATAATGCATTGAAGTGTAGTGTGGCAGAGTTGATAAAGATGTATTGTCCGGAGACCAGTATACTGCCTGCAGTAACCGGTTGCAGGGGTCTCAGCAAAGATAGGAGGGGAATGAGAGAAAAGGAAGAGAAAAAGAAGAAGGAAGAAAAAAAGAGAGAAGAGAAGGAAAAAAAAGTAAAAGAAAAAGAGGGATGGGGGAGGGGTGTGGGAGGGTTAGAGGGTTGGGGTACCCTGATTGTATTAGTAGCGGTCTGTGTGTATCGTTCCATCACATCCTACTTTAATCGGGCATGGATGAGTGTAGGAAAGGTATGGCTGAGGGTAATACGGATTCATGTAGAACTGTAGTGTGTGCAGTATGTTTTCTATCTTTTCAGCTTGTGATTGTGAGTAAAGGACAGTATTCAGACAGAGACTCAGAGAGCCTATATATCTGGGCATCCACCTGATGCCCTATTCATTCATGGGGGGATTTTCATTTCCCAGATGTAGTCCTCAGGGGTTTGGAAATGGAGCCAGCATGCCCAAGTTGAAGTAAATTTCATAGGTGCGTCTTTAGACACAGAGATTAATTCTTCCATTTTCGCTATTTTGTTTATCCTACTGTACCAGTCAGGTATAGTCAGAGTTTTAGAGGTTCACCAAAGTATTGATATGCATAGTTTGGCTGCATTTACCATCATCATGGCAAGAGATTTGAAGTAGGGGGGTGAAGGGGAAGGGGTAGGGGTGTAGCGCAGAAGGTATTGCGCAGGGGTAAATTTCAGTGGGTGGGTAGTAATCTGGGTCATTTGTTTATGTACTTCTTTCCAGAAAGGCTGGATGGATGGACATTCCCACCAAATGTGTAAAAGAGTTTCTATTTCTTGGTGGCATCTCCAGCATTGGTCTGATATAGTCACATCAAATTTATGAAGAAATGAAGGTGTATGGTACCACCGTGATAGGATTGTGTAATTATTTTCCTGAATGGAGACATTGATGGATCCTATGTGAACGTGTCTATATATTTGTTCCCAGTTCTCTTTAGTAAGTTCTAGATGTAAATTGTGAGCCTAAAATGTGCATGTTTTCCTGTGGCAGCAGATTCATGCGACCATAGCAGAGTATGTAAAATAGAGATACCGTGTTGTAGGGGTTTATTGGAGGCGCACAATTTGTCAACGGGTATAAGGGAAAATGAAGTGTGCCTAGAGCCTTGTATAGATTTAGCAAAGTGTGGAACCTCTTTAATTTAATGCTGAAAAGAATTCTCTATGTTGTCAGGAGCACTGGAGACGATAGAGTGTACACTGCAGTGACTTATAACATAGTCTGTAGGGAATTTGAAAGGATCTTTTATAACTATGTTTAGGTTAATGCTGTCTTTCTCACTTGCACCTCCATCTGCACTGATAGCTTGGTCTAGGACCCTTAGTTCTGCCATAGCTGTATCATGTTTACACTGTTTGTTTAAGATTTCTATTGCTGCTCTTTGGCGTACTGACTGAGTTTTCAACTCTGCTTTTTGGCGTGCTGACTGATTTTGAAACTCTGCTCTTTGGCATGCTGACTGAGTTTCCAACTCTGCTCTTTGACGTGCTGACTGAATTACCGTATTTTTCGCTCCATAAGACGTACTTGACCATAAGACGCGCCTAGGTTTTAGAGGAGAAAAACAAGAAAAAAAATATTCTGAACCAATGGACTGCAGACATAGTACAGGAAGTGACCAGACACTGCGGACACAGTACAGGAGATGACGAGAGACTGCAGACAGTACAAGAGATGACCAAAGACTGCGGACATAGTACAGGAGATGGACCAGAGACTGCGGACATAGTACAGGGGATGACCAGACACTGCAGACAGTACAAGAGATGACCAAAGACTACAGACATAGTACAGGAGATGGACCAGAGACTGCAGACACAGTACAGGTAATGACCAGAGACTGCAGACAGTACAAGAGATGACCAAAGACTGCGGACAAAGTACAGGAGATGGACCAGAGACTGCGGACATAGTACAGGAGATGACCAAAGACCGTGGACATAGTACAGGAGATGACCAGAGACTGCGGACATAGTACAGGAGATGACCAGAGACTGCGGACATAGTACAGGAGATGACCAGAGACTGCAGACATAGTACAGGAGATGACCAGAGGCTGCGGACATAGTACAGGAGATGACCAGAGACTGCGGACATAGTACAGGAGATGGACCAGAGCCTGCGGACATAGTACAGGAGATGGACCAGAGACTGCGGACATAGTACAGGAGATGGACCAGAGACTGCGGACATAGTACAGGAGATGGACCAGAGACTGTGGACATACTACAGGAGATGGACCAGAGACTGCAGACAGTACAGGGGATGATCAGAGACTGCGGACAGTACAGGGGATGACCAGAGACTGCGGACATAGTACAGGGGATGACCAGAGACTGCGGACATAGTACAGGGGATGACCAGAGACTGCGGACATAGTACAGGGGATGACCAGAGACTGCGGACAGTATAGGGGATGACCAGAGACTGCGGACATAGTACAGGAGATGACCAGAGACTGCTGACAGTATAGGGAATGACCAGAGACTGTGGACAGTATAGGGGATGACCAGAGACTGCGGACAGTACAGGAGATAACCAGAAACTGCAGACAGTACAGGGGATGACCAGAAACTGCAGACAGTACAGGGGATGACCAGAGACTGCAGACAGTACAGGGCATGACCAGACACTGCAGAGCTTTAGGGAGGGAGGGAGAGCGGGTACCTGAATTTGACAGGTACCCGCTCCCACTTCTGCGGAGTTCTCCTTCCTATACTGTGGGCACCCGACTTTGACAGTCGGGTGCCCACTGCGCATGCGTGAGAAGCACTGCACTTTGTGAATGGCCCGGCGTCTTTTGGGACCTGTCTTGTGTCCCAGAAGACACCGGACCATTCACAAAGCGCAGTGCTTGTCACGCATGCGCAGTGGGCACCCGGCTGTCATGGATGCCGAGGAGGGAAAAAGCCGGCGTGGAAAGACTACAGCGCTGGAATGAGGAACAGGTGAGTTCCTGCTGCAGAGAACAGATGAGCTACCGGCCCGGTATTCTGACATGGTGGCGGCGGAAATACCGGACCGGCCGCTTTATATTTGCTCCATAAGAAGCACTGACATTTTCCCCCCCTTTTTTGGGAGGAAATAAGTGCGTCTTATGGAACTAAAAATACGGTACTAACTCTGCTCTCTTTTTTGCATTTTCGGCCTGCACCTTGCTGGTTTCCACTTCAGCACGGGCACTAATAAGTCGATCGCTGAGCGTAGAGCATCTTGAACTATGGGATTTAGAGGACTTTTTAGAATGTCTTGTAGAAACGAATCTGTGAGATGCAGTGTCTTGTAGTAATGAGTAATAATACCTCGGTAAACCTCAAATCCGTTAAATACCCCCCACAATCACCCCATAAAGAAAAGTGACACTTTCACCCCTGGAAGTAAATACAATAATATTAAACCTTTCCTTCACCTATCTCCCAAAATCCAAATATGAAATACTCTAATTTACCCTATTCCAACCACATCCAATGAATACTCAAAATATCCCAAATCAATAATAATTAATAAATAATAGTAAAAATAAATAATAAAAAAAATTAGATAAATAATAAATGTCCAAATGTGATAAAAGCCAATCAAACAATAGTCCACCAAAAACGTATTAATCCAGTCTGTTGAACTTCCAATTCCTATTCCAATCCTCGTGATACCTCGAAAAAAAATAAAGAACAATAGTGTATTACCTTCTAAATAACAAAACAATATAAGTACCTTAATCGTGTGTAAATGTATCAGTGCAAACAATGAATAAGTGCACCAAAATGAGAACAGATTCAACTGTGAATTGGACTTTTGATTGGACTTTTATCACATTTGAGCATGTATTATTTATCTAATTTTTATTTTTTTATTTATTTTTACTATTATTTATTTATTAATTATTTATTATTGATTTGGGATATTTTGAGTATTCATTGGATGTGGTTGGAATAGGGTAATTTAGAGTATTTCATATTTGGATTTTGGGAGATAGGTGAAGGAAAGGTTTAATATTAGTGTCTTGTAGTAGCTTTATCTTTGCTTCTGCCTTTAATTTGGTTTGCTGGATAAAACTGTCTCTTTCTAGATTAAGAACCTGAAAGCTGTTTAATTCTTCTAACGAATCTTCAGTGGTCATACTTCATAAAATATTATTGAACATGTTGCTGGTAATCTGATAAAGCTCATATGAGGCAGAAAGTTGTGGATGGCGCCCTCTAGTGGCCGTACCTCGTATTCAACAGACAGTGTTTTAGATTGAGTAACAACCTTTTCCCACAATAACTTCAGGCTAGTTGTTAGCTCAGTTCTTAAAGTTTCATAATTTTCCATCATTTTTCAAGTTGGTTTAACTGAGCATTTGGGTAACACAGTTGGATCAGAGACTTGTTCTGCTGTGTGTGACATCTCTTCACAGACGGAGCCATTGTAATTCATGTTGACACAAGCAGATAATGACTGAGAGATAAGCAAGTGGGAAGGTTATTCCTGGGCTTAGTTATGGAGGTGTACACGTGCTCCTGCCGTATTCTTGCTTTGCAATGAGAGCAATAAATATTGTTTGTATCAGTCTGTAATTAGGCTGTAAATCCGTTTTTCTATTGTTCTGACTCAATTACAGGACCATAAACTTTATCTCCAGCAATGTATACAGCTATACAATTTGGTGTTGAATCTATCTCTTGCATCAGGTCAGACAGTTTAACCCAATGAATAAACTCACATGTTGAGGAAGTCAGCTGAGGAAAACCATTGGAATGTTCCATTTAATGGAGGATAATCATAGGTAGAAAAACGTTAATGTTGTAAGCCTCATGGAAAAAATGCATTCAGGAAGACAGGATACAGTGGAATGACTACAGAGAGAGGCAGGGAGGAGGGGTATATACAAGTACGGTGAGAGAGCTCAGCTTAGACAGTGTTAGGGTTCCGGGTATGACCAGAAATGTGTGGACTGACACAGGGAAGTAGCAGGCTTCAGGAACACAGGCATAGTCAGGCTGCAGAGGTGGAATGGTCAGGCAGGCCGTAAGGTACTGTCAGGTGCCGCCTGGCAGTGTCTCTAGCAGCCCACAGCACGGATTTCCTCAGGGCGCAGGGTCTAAGTCCCAGCCTGCTATTCACCAGGGCCCCTGATGGTGGGCATGGACTTGGTGCAGACTGGAACCAGGTCGCGACCCCTGAGTGCGTCCGGCTGTGGTAGAGAGTACTGGCAGGGGAGTGCAGGAACGGAGTCTGATGGGAAGAGGCAAGCAGATTTACTAAAGGTGATCCATGCGGGATGGATGGATCGTCGGGTGAAGTAAGCGTAGTCAGACAGGCTGGGTCGGTATCGTGCGGGCAGCGTGGTACAGGAGGAGCAAGCAGAGAATGGTCGGGGTCACAAGCCAGGTTCAGCAGGTAACGGGCAACACGGTACCAAGGATCAGGCAGAAGGATGGTCAGGCAAGCCAGGGGTTCAACAGGAGACGGTCAGCAGAGGTCAGGATCAAAGCAGGGTCAGCAACGAGGCAGGAAAACAGGATACCAGGTACAGGGGCTCATGGGAAACATACACCAAGGCCCTGATCACAGGCCTGGTCATTCCTTAAATACACCTCCTGCAATCAGCCCCAGGTGTTGGCTGACTATAGGAGTGAGCTTCTGGCTGCTGAGAGCACCCGCTGGTCAGCCCTGGTACTGCAGCCCAAACGGCAGGTGAGTCCCACCACCAGTGCTGAGTCCATTCCTGACAGACAGCTTAAAGACACAGAGCCATGGTAAACAAGTGATGTCCACAGAGAAATAATAATAAATCAAATAGTGTTCCAAACAATATTACCTGTAGACCCCAAGCACTGTGTTCAGGGTATCATGGTGATCTGCATATGGAAAGTCTCACTAGAGAGGCCATCACTAGAGCCCTGTTTCAGGCCCCTAGGTATATCCTTATACATTGAAAGTGCCCTGATCCACTTACACACATTGATTGGGTTAAATGTATGGGTGAGACACTTAAGCTGGAATTATATATTTACCAGCATAGTAGATGCCCTAGTAATTTTTGGAGGTTATGAGGGCCTTGGCTGGATACTCCAGACCATCATAGTCAGGATCTTGATGTGAAATGGGAAGTATTAGCACTAGGACAAAAGCTAAGACCCAGCTGTATGACTTCCATCTAGGTGTTTCCTTTGGAGATAAATGATATGAAAATAGATTACCTATAGTCCACTGATACTCGTGTTTGTTTGGTGACAAAATGATCCTTTTTGTTGTCTCTCATCAACTGCTGGAAAAAAACCTGAGAGTCAATAGTCTTATCTTTATTTTTTCTCTTTGTTTTCAGGGACAAGGTGAGTGCCCCTGCTGTTTGACTGTCTGTCCCTAATTGTGGATTATGAAATCCATCTTCATTTATTGATGTATGTAATGTGCGCTCATCCTGAGACTGTGATAAAGAAGCCTGTTTGGTTTGTGTAGGTACCGTCTGTGTAAGGGATTTCCGGCAAGACGAACCGCGATCGGAAATGCGCGATCACGCACATGCACAGGCACGGCGAAGATTGGCACCAGACGGCCTATTTAAGGAGTGTCTCTGTTCATGTTCAGTGCTGACTGGTCTTCAGCTCCCCCTGTGTCCTGCTAGTTCCTGTACGATTCCTCTGTTGCTGATCCGGCTTGTTCCTCACCTGACTTTGATTGCTCTCCTGATACTGGTTCCTGACTTTGGCTCTGCTCCTGACCTTGGCTTTTCCTCCTGATTCTGTACTGCGCTGCATGATTGTTGATGACCTCGGCTATTCCATGACACTGCTCCTGTCTCTTGTCCTCACTACCTGCCTTGCTCTGCTGCACGCCTGGCAATCTACCTAACCTGCTCTGCCTGCTACTCCTGTGCCAAAATCAGAGGATCTTCAGCCTTCCAAGGTATTCATCTGCAAGAGCTGCAAACAACAACTACTGGCACTCTTGTTCCCCTGGGTCCTAGACTCCCTCTGTTTCAACCTCAGCGGGGTCAGGGCTAGTGACACAAGTGAGGCCGACCTCATCAATTTAGTCTCCCATCAGGTACGTGACAGTACCAGTCAGCCAATGATGGAGTCTGAAAGGGAGGCCTCGCAACTGGGGGACATTCGCCAATCCGTAACTACCTTGTTTAACGTGATACACAACCTACAGAAAAACTTCAAACACCTGGAGAGTAAGATGCGAACCGACTCTAATGTCCTCACAGACACAGTTCTCACGGTAACCTTTGATGCAGCCACTCAAACAGAGACCAGTATGATCCTTGAAACCTCGGTCCTACCGAAACCCCGGGTGCCTACGCCTGAGTTCTTTACAGGAGATCGCCGGAAGTTCAGGACTTTTGTAGCTCCTGTGAGTTATATTTTTCCCTGCTCCCCAGGACCTTCTCTTCACCAAATACTAAAGTGGGGTTTATCATCACACTTCTTAGAAATGAACCTCAGTACTGGGCATATCATCTCCGTGAACAACATGATCCGGCCCTAACTTCAGTAGACTCATTTTTTACAGCAATGGCACAAATCTATGCTGATGCCTTCCGGCGCCAAACCGCTGAATCTATGCTCAGTAAGCTACAGCAAGGCCAAAGGCCTGTGGAGGAATGTGTTACTGATTTTCGTATCTGGAGTCCTGATACTCAGTGGAACGAATCTGCTCTCTGCTATCAGTTCTGTCTTGGTCTTTCTGATACCCTGAACGATGAGCTGGCCCGAGTGGGGGTACCAACCAGATTGGAGAGTCAAATAGACCTGACGATCCATATTGACTGTTGGATTCGGGAAAGACAGAATGAGAGGACTAACAGGAAGATTCTGATATGCTCTGAAATTGGGCCCTCTATGAA